AAAATGTGGCTTCGTGAAGATGGATGAATTATGGGATAAATGGGTGCTACGGATTAGAATGAAATTAGGGTGGAATAATGGGAAAGGTGCGGCTAAGTATGTAAAACCTAGGGTTTTAAATATGTTTGGTTCCTAGCTTATTTTTATTAACGAAAATAAATTCAAAGGCTTACGAAAATAGGAAATTAAAACATAAATATAAAGGTGCGGCTAGGAAGGGAAATAGGGCTAGGGCCTTGGTTTTGTGTCCTAAAGTGCATACGAGGCCTATAAAGTGGCTAGAAAATATGGACGTTTAGAATTAGGAAAGGTTACCAAAACGGGAAACTTAGGGTCAACTTTCCTAAAATAGGAAGCCTTGTTTGAGTAGGATTCTTCGTTTTGGTAAGAATTCATCGTTGGCGTAGGAATTCGTCGTTTCTTCAAGTCTTCAACTCATTCATTCCTCTTTCACTCCAAACGACTCCAATTTGCATCTTCTTGCACACTTTGGCCTTATAATCTGAAAATACACAAAAGTGGCCTTAAACACTGAAATAGATAAGTAAACACAACATAAATGCATGAGAACAAGCTAATTAAGTCGCATGAATATGCTCCTATCAACACCCATGCTACCTGCCAGCTAGGGTAAATGACAAATGACTAGACTAGATCTTCTTCCAATACTCCCCCTCAAGCTGGATCAAACGGGTCAATTATTCCAAGCTTGGACAAGAGGTGATGGAAAGTAGCAAATGATAATCCTTTGATGAATGAAGTGTGTATCAATCATCTTGGACTACACTTGATTTCGAACATAGTGGCAGTCAACTTCAATGTGTTTAGTTCGCTCATGGAAAACAGGATTTCATGCTATGTGCATCACAACTTGATTATCACAGTAGAGAGACATAGGTTGCTGATGAGGAAACCCCAAGTCCAATAACAGATTTTTAAGCCAAATAAGTTCACAAGCAGTCCAAGCCATAGCACGGTATTCTGCTTATGCACTAGAACGTGCAACCACGCTTTGTTTCTTGCTCTTCTAGGTGACTAGGTTACCTCCTATGAAGGTGTAGAAACTAGTGATAGACTTGAGATCAAGAACATTCCCCGCCCAATCTGCATCTGTATATCCTGAGATATGAGTGTGATTATTGTTGCGCATGAGAATCCCTTTACCAATGGAGCCTTTCAGATATCGAAGCACACAATGAACAATCTTCATGTGATCCATGCTTGGAGCATGCATAAACTGGCTAACAAGACTCACGGCATATGTTATATCAAGACGAGTGATAGTTAAATAAATGAGTTTGCCGACCAATCTCTGATAGTACTCTATATTGGGAATGAGATCACCGTGATATTGCAGCTTCAAGTTACTATTAAAAGGTGTGTGAGTAGGTTTACAATCTATCATGTTGGCCTCATGAAAAAGATCAATAACATACTTGCGTTGATTTAGAAAACAACCCTTGTGAGAGTGTGTCATCTCGATCCTTAGAAAATATTTAAGAATGCCGAGATCCTTGATAGCAAACTTGTGATTGAGATATTGTTTAAGAGCATTAATCTCTGACATATTATCACCTGTCACAATGAGATCATCAACGTAAATAAGCACCATAAGTTTACCCGATGTGCTTCATCGCACAAATAAGGAAGAATCAGCATTGCTCCGACAAAAACCAACTCTTTCTAGAACATGACTAAGCTTGGCATACCATTGAGACCATAAATGGATTTATGAAGTTTGCACACCATTTCTGGATTGTTTGATTGAGGATGACCTGGAGGTAGTTTCATGAAAACTTCTTCTTCAAGCTCACCATGCAGAAAAGTATTTTTAACATCCATTTGAAAAATAGGCCATGCATTGTTAATGGCAACAGATAACAGCACCCTCATAGTGTTCATCTTTTCCACGAGAGCAAATGTCTCCTTGTAATCCACTCCATGGGTTTGAGTAAATCCTCGAGCAACCAAACGAGCCTTGTTCCTTTCAATCGTGCCATCTAAATGGAACTTGGTCTTGCATACCAACGACTTCCCACAGCCTTCTTTCCTTTGGGAAGTTTCACTATAGTCCAGGTGTTGTTTTCATGAAGAGTTTGAAGCTCTTCTGCCATAACAGCTCTCCACTCACTGTGTAGATTTGCTTCTTGAAAGCTTTATGGTTCATAGGTTTCAGTAATTGCACTGAGAAATGCAACAAAGGAGGATGAAACCTTGCTGTAATTAATAGCAGAAGTCAAGGGATACTTGGCATTGTAAGTTACATAATCATGTAACTTGGATGGAAGTTTCCTCTCATGGGGAGGATTTTGATGAACTGTGGGAGATTGAGTTGCTGGCAATTGAGCAGTTTCTTGGTTGGAAGGACTACTTGAGGGTTCTAATGAGATAGGTTCTTCAGGGACCACAGGTGGAGAATCTGCAAGTTGCGAGAATTAACCTCTTTCAATACATAGTCCCTTGAAATATCTGTTGTATCCTCTTCATTTGGATATGGTATTGGGAACAAATCAAGCAAATTCTCCCCCTCTCTAGAATAGTCCAGAGGTTAAGTGAAGTAAGGCATGGTTTCTTCAAATTTCACATTTCTTGAAACAACTATTTTCCTAGTTGTTGGATTGTAGCATTTGTAACCCTTTTGAGTGGATGAATAGCCTAGGAAAACACATTTGGCAACCCTTGGATCTAGTTTGTCACAATTTGGTGCTTGAATGTGAACGAAGCATGTACATCCAAAAACTCTCAAATGGGATAGATTGATCTATCTATCTTTCAAGCCCTCATAAGGTGATTTAAAGTTCAATATCTTACTAGGAAATTTATTGATGAGATATGCAGCAGTAAGAACACCTTGGGACCAAAAATTTTTAGGCACATTCGAGTGAAACATAAGAGCTCTAGTTTTTTCAAGTAAATCTCTATTCTTCCTTTCTGCTACCCCATTTTGTTGAGGTGTTCCAACACAACTAGTTTGATGTAATATACCATGTGTCCTTAAATAGTGAGACATGTTATGGGACATATATTCGGAGCCATTATCTAATCGTAAGACATGAATGTTTGAAGCAAATTATGTGTTTACAAGTCTATGAAAATCTTGAAAAACTTTCAGCACTTCACTTTTAATTTCAAAAGATACAACCAAGTGATCCTTGTGAAATCATCTACAAAAGTTACAAAATATTTGTATCCGTCAAAGGACTCTAGGACTGGTCCCCAAACATCAGAATGCACGATTTCAAAAGGATTACTAGCCCTAGACAAGGAGGAAGTGAAAGGTAATCTAGTGGACTTAGAGAAGTGACAAACATCACAAGAACTTGTAACTTTGCATAGGTTTGGAAACAAAAAAGACAGAACTTTATCAGAAGGATGTGCAAGTCGTTGATGCCAAAGTTGTTGTTCTTGAACCAGGCTTGAAGTGACTTGGAAAACCTTGGGAATTTGGACATGTTTGGAAAGGTAGTAGAGGCCATTTAAGAAAAAACCTTCACCAATCGTCTTCTTGGTGGTGATATCCTGAAAAACCATAATTTTTGGGGAGAAAATAGCAAGACGGTTCAATAAGTCTGTGTTTTTTCCAACCGATAAGAGCTGAAAAAGGAATGAGGGAACATAAAGAGCCTCAGACTCGACATTACTAGAAATCAAATGTGTTTTCCCTCTCCCTACAACCATAGCACCCTTGCCATTAGCAACTAACACTTGAGATGGACATGAGAGTTTTTCAAAATTATGCAGATTTGTAGACTTGTTAGTCATATGATCAGTAGCTCCTGAATCTATAATCCAATAATCATGCACATTACCTGCTTTGAGAGCAATTGAGAAGGATTGTACGATACCTGGAATATCTTGTTGTGTCACACCTTCTTTTTCAGCCAAAAAACCAGCAAACTGCCCGAGTATAGCACCTTATTTGTTGTCACCTTGACTAGTTGATCCTTCATTGTCTCCATGACCTTGTTTCTTGTGGAGGAAGGCAGCAAATTCATTGATCAAGGTGGTTGGATTGGAGGTGAACTTTTGTACTCCCTCGAAATGAGTGGTGGCGGTATGATTTGCCCTGTAGGATGAGTTGCATGAACCCTTAGGGAAACCCTTGTTGTTGTCCCTAGAAAACTTGGGCCTTAGTTCAGGGTGTAGAATCTAGCAATGATCTCGTGTATGTCCACCAGTATCACAATAGCTACATTTTACAATAGGTTTCTTTCCTTTGTAGCCCCTCTATTCACTAGTTCTATGGGTAGAGAGATATACCCTAGCTTCTAGTATATTTGCCTTTAATTCCACAGTCATGATTTTTCTGTGAGTTTCTTCCCTTTGAATCGTGGCACACACACTTGAGAATAAGGGAAGATCAGGATTCATGAGGACATGACTCCTAAGATCTTCATATTCAGGACTTAAACTCACAAGAAGTTGAAATATTTTGTCTTCGTCAGCTCTCTTGGTCAGCACGACAGCGTCAATGGTGTGTGGCCGATAGACATTCAACTCGTTCCACATGGTTGTTAACTTCCCAAGGTGCTGCACAAATGAGTTTCCTTCCTGTTGTAGACCAGCAATATCCTTTTTTAACTGGAACACTCGAGCTGCATTATTCTGATTCCCATACATTTCTTTGAGATTTTTCCAAATGATGCAGAAGGATTCAGCATAGTTGAAAATTTCTGCAATCTTTCGATCCATAGAATTGAGTAGCCATGACATGACCAACTGGTCGTTGCACAACCAATCATTGTAATTTGATGAGGACACATCAAGCGTTGGAATAACACCATTAACATAACCAAGTTTCGATCGTCCTCCCAAGGCAAGAGTGACTGCTATCTCCCAGGAAAGATAATTGAACTCATTTTGTAAGGCAGAACTGAGACGTTGATTTGGGTTGACATCAACATCTAAATGAAATGAAGATGGCGCAACATGCAAGCTAACTTCTTCGCCATGCACTGAACTCTCTTCAGCCATGATAGAGAATCAGGAAAAGCTCATAGATCTCTCAAGAAACTACTCAGAAGTAGGTCGATTAGGATCACTGCTCTGATACCATATTGAGATTTGTTGCTGCTCAGTAGATTCTTTGTCGGCCCCGGAGACTAATGGTGAGACTGGTGGTGGTGGAAGTACCATACCAGGCAACACGACAAGATCTTTTTTAGGCTCGATTAAACCACAGTTTTCTTGCTGTAACTTCAATCGGGCCTCAAAATTTTGCCTTGGGACATTCACGTTCTACTACCATCCTCAGCTGGACACATGCAATTATTCAAAACGTTCAAATGGCCATAAATCATATTTCTGTTCTTCATGCATTTCAAAGTAAGAGTTCAGCATCGGTATGAAGTAAAATGACTCGACACAACCTGAATGAATCACGACAGAACCTTTATCAATTATACATGCACCATACTTTCTGATAATGGATTAAATGGCGGGGTAGAATTGCAGTGACATAACAGAAACTGATAAATTTGCCCTTCAATACTAAATACAAATTTAAAACATTGATTTGAAAAGGAAAAAACCAGTTTCCACTATACCAGAATGCTGAAACATTCATCTGCAGAAATATAATTTGTGGTTGGATACCATACCAATTGAGAGGAGTGATTATCAACCAAGTGAAGCACGTGCTCCAAGTCCTGGGTATGAAAAACTTTACGGCAGACGGGGCAGTTTCCCATACTTTCTTCCTAAGCTCCACATTTTTGTAACAACAAATCATCATTATTTAGGAATTATATTTTCTTAAAAACCATAAAGTTTACTAAGCGAGCTTCACAGGTGACGTGGCCCATAAATACGTGACAGAATATTAAAATAAATAATAATAATAATAATAGTAAAAAAATAATAGAAGAAAGAAAACCTATCATAGGATAAAAAAAGAGGACAGTCGGCTATCCTTAATCTACACAAGCATGCAACAAGCACACCCTTAAATGCACGAGTGTTGAACACCACCAAAGGCACCACCTATGCGCCCACCACAACTAAGCGAAAACTATAATACTTGGGCCATGACGATTTTTGGGTACTTTAAGAATGGACAATACCAGTAACCCGATCCTCCTGTCTTACAAATCTCCCATACCACTAAAAAAGAAAGAAAAAAAAATATATATATATATATATATATATATTTCCCATACCACTGCCCATACATATTAGAAATCGAAGCTGCAAAGCTCCAACACTAACCTCATCCTGTTGGCCACACAAATCTGAATCTGTTTTTCTTTTTCAAGTTTTTGAGGCAAGAATCCTCCTTGAAGAACTTATCCACAAGAAAACACCACCCTCGAAGGATCTGCACACTAGAACTGCTTCCATGCAAAAGTACAACAGATTTTATCCAATAAATCTCAACGAAAAGAGCGCACATCAAACACTTCATTAAGTGCATTTCAGAGCGTCCAGTCACCAACTCTAAAACCATGTAGAGCTTCCAAGAAACTATCAACAATTTCAATCTCTGCTCACTAGAACTTCTAACAAAAGCAAGATTCAACTAAACCGTACCCCCAATCTGACTGAAAGAGTCCCTATCAGGGCAATTTTATCCCATACAATGCAAAGCATCCTACCAGAAACAAACTTGGATGCAAAGTCAATATCACTTCCCTTGCATACCGGCCAAATATTCTATATAAACCTCCAAATCCTTTCAGACACTTCTCCACAAGCCCACACATGAGTCGCCGTCACTTCCTGTGTGCTTCAGCCGCCAAAAAACTTCCATATTTACAAGCCAACAAACAAGTCCATAATTGATTCCTCTACAGTCTACACATAATAATTGGTGAGGGAAACACAAGTTATCTCAACCAACTAAGTGAAATTCAGGTTCGTTAGCCAACTCACCTGAAGAAAGCCTCTTGTAAAGTTTTCCATGACCGGAACCAAAACAGACATATTACATAGATAACCTAGATAAAACATTAAGGTTCCCCTTAAGTTTTCTTTCCTACCACACACTTCTCTATCCTTTCCATATTTGAATTTCAAATGAAAGACCAAAAACGAACCTGTTTATGTAAAGAAGCAGAGAGCTAACTCTGCACTCCCGATCAGCAGAAATCAGAAATATCTCGTGCAACTGGAGTCTGGAATAGTTTTTAGGCTTTTTATCCAAGGGAACGAACATAAGGCAAAGGAAGAAGTAGAGTATCATAGGTTTTTGAGGTACCAGGAGTATCTTTCACTAGAGGACAGGGGCCGCATGCTGGTCAATGAGATTGGCACAACTCCTCACTTTGGTCCCTGAGATTTAAAACCAACAGAAATGGTCCATGAGATTGTCAACCGTCAATCATTTTGGTCTTTCTGTGAGAAATCTCTGCTAAATAGAGAGTATTTTTGTCAAATTAAACCCTCCCTTTTGAACTAGTGGTTTCTTCATTTCAACGGAGATTTTTCATTAAGGGACCAAAATGGGACGGTTGACAATTTCTAGGACCACTTCTAATTATTTTAAATCTCAGGGACCAAAATGAGGAGTTTTGACAATCTCATAAGTATTTTGGCTAAAAGGCCTAGTTTGCTTTTGAAGATTTCAGTCTTATCCATCTAAACCTTAGACCCAATACATCTTTGACTCATAAAATAAGACACCTCAAATACATTATTTTTCCCAATCTGCACAATTGAAAAAATCGTATCATCTTTAATTACACATGTGAAATCTGAATAGATCTTGCAGTACTAGAGACCACATCAAACCCATAAGAGAACCACCCTCTAAGGTGCGCTATGGATCAACCGGCTAAGCACCACCGTGACTAGATAAACAGAACTGAAAGAGGATGAACTCCTTTGTGGAGACCGCTTGGGCAACCAAACAAACCAGGAGGGTAGTCATTCACAAAGGCAGAAAGTCTACCAGTACAAATACAGTAATGTATAAATTGCCACAACTGATTCCCAATCACCCAATTAACATAAGCATATCCCTTCTCTGTATCCAATTCACAAATGAAACTATTAGTCCCTGATCTGAACCTACTCATTACTCATTAGCAATCAACCAATCCAAAATTCAACACCCACCTACATGGGTATTCTGGGATCCCACATACTTTTATCAAGACCATGCTTCAGCTTATGCCTACATTACAAAAATCTTGCCAGTCATGAATGTAAAAACTGTAACAATAACAAACTAATAAATAATAAATACAAAAGCCTTCCATAAGCCTCTTCCAGATATCCTATCCCAATTCTCAAGTAATCCTTATGAATCATGCTACTTTGAAAGTTTGAAACATCAACATGAGAATGCATACTGTCCACACACCACCTTCTTCCCCTTCTTTTAAGGGACGTGGGTTGTTACAACTATATGTTTTCTTATGCAGATCCAAGATAAGAATTTATGTGTCAGTTGTTAGATCAGACATTAATTTTTGAGATGCAGGACCTAAGTTCATCCAATCAATTACACAGCTATGGACTCATTCAACTTATTCTATCCATATCTTGATGTTTACATATTCTTAGGCTTGTATTTTGTATTAAATATTCTCTTGATGCTCTTTTATAAGTACATTTTACTTTTGGTAAGGCTTCTTCTTTTTGCAAAACCAACCATATTACAAGAATCCCATATAAAGTTGAAGTAAATTGCCCAATGATCTCCTCAAGCTCTAGAATTCAACCTACTACCAAACAACTGTGACTCAAGTATACTTTTATGGTTTCTTACGTCTCGATTCAGATGTGCACTTGATGAATCACTGGTATTTCTTTTTTCTTCTTTTTGAAGCCAACTCCACCACCTAATAATGCACTCACTGCCGCATTTTAAAACAAAAAAGGGAGAACAAAATTTAAAACCAAAACCCTTAAATGTAATCTGACACCAATATATATATATATTTAGAGAAGCAATGGAAACAAGACATCAACTTCATAAATGGCAAAGCATTTTTCTGCTCATCTTCTGGGACCAAAGGATACAAACACAATGGACAGTCTCCATCAGGGCGATTCATAACAGAGAGCTTCTCGACTGCTTCCTGAACACATATCTTAATGTATCAGTCTCCTGAATATGAAAGTCCGGGAGTGTCCACAAATGGTGAATATATCTCTACATCGGGAAGGGATAAAAACCACGAGCTACCATAAGACCGATATTTAAACACTCATGAGCATGCAGATTGCAGGAGCTACATAATGTGCAGAGTTTATCTAAACTTTTTGACAGTGTCACAAAGGAGCAATGTATTCGTATGTCAAACAGTTTTTGCGAAGTTGGCTAGAGCAGCAATTACCTCAAAAATTACCACAAGCATTAAACAAGACGAGAGTTCCCATGCTCTGTCCCTTATCGAATTTGTTAGATGTTTTTGCCTTTGAAAATCAAGACTCTTTGAATCTATAAGATCAATATGTGGCAGTTCATTCAGATACTACCAAAGAAGAGAGAACCAAAAACAGAAAACTTGGTAGGAAACTGAAAAGATAAGAGATTAAACCAAGCCTATAGCAAATGATGAATGCATAAAGAATATTATTTTCATATTAATCTTCACCTGAGAATCTGCTCGAATTCCCATGACAGCTTCCACAAACTACAAGTAATAAGAGATTTTCACCATTGAAGCAAAAACAAAGAAGGAAAAGATTGCAGCTTTGCAATAAAAAACTAAACTTTTGCTCCACCAGCTCGACCTCTACGCTAACAAACTACGCAATCAAACAAATTGAAACGCAAATCGCTGTTTGGCAGCTGAGAAACTTTAAGAAAGCATAAAATACAAAAAAAGTGCTCTTTTGTTTCTTTCATCAGATTTTCCCAGACTTTCTCAGCAACCAAACAGAATTCAATCCAAAATTTGAAAGAGAGTGATAAAAAGAAGCAAGCAGTAAAGAGTATGTGGGGAAGGACCTGTTGTGAAGCAACATAGGCGGTGCGAGGTTTGTTATGGAGGTGGAGATGGGGAGGGTAGGATTGGAGAACCACTCAATCGCCCCCGTAGACTGATTGTACGGCTTCCAGTTCCGCCGCCACTTCTTCCTCCTATTCGGAGGTAGCTGTGGCCATAACGTATAGAGTCTTACAGAGTTGGATGTGTCTCGTTCGTCGCTCACAATCTCATATTCTCACTTGAAATAAAAATTAAAAAAAATATAAGATTCCTTCTTTTATAATGAGAAAAATGGCTGGGATGAAAAGGAGCAAATCCAACCGGCTGCTGAATGAAGTTTTTGAGCTATTTTAATAAAAAAAAAAAAGTTAATTAGTACTACGGCCTAATAAGATTCATTTTCACAAGTAAAAGATTTTAAGTTTGATTCTCGCTAAAAATGAATTTAAATCATATTATTACTAATTAATGGTAAGACTAACCACACCTCCTTCTTTTTTTTGCTAATTAGAATCAATAAAATTGTATTGTTTGTGGGATTCAAGAGAAGAAAAAAGGGATTGCAATCCCAGCATGCAGATCCAACTGATAAAAAGATGTCAACCTTCCAATTTCATCCTGCCACCAGAAAGTGAATTTAAATGTTAAAACAATTTCATGCAAAACTAGGTCATGTTCAGCTCCTTTTTACTCTCCTCGAGCGCATTTTCAATTCACTCCAGCGCCATGTTTTTTTCCTCTGAAACCTTCCACTCTCCTCTGGCTCTTTTCTCCAACTAACCAAAAGGTGTTGCCGTCCAATTTCCTCTTCGTTGCTTCACGAGTTTCTATGCATACCCATTTTCATTTCGTCTCCTTTCTCCAAAAATTCTGAAGAAAACAAAATCATCATCTGAGCCTTGTAGGATGATCACCATTGTGGGATCTTTGCCCTTGAGGAAGATGGAGAGAGAGGGAAACGGTGCATAGAAGAGTCTGGCATGGACCCCTTGAAGTTTAGATTTTTCCTTAAGGGTGTTTGGTTGTTGATTTACGAAGATGCAGCACAAGAATTTAGTGAATGTAGGTTATTCATATTTTTCCTGTCTACACTAATTCATGAAGGGATTTGTACAAAATGCTTTGTTTTTGGTTAATTGAATCAATGAAATACTTTTATAAATAGACATGAGTTCAAAGCAAATTCATATTTGTGGAATGTTTTCACTCGAAAAAGTAATAGATCAGTAGCATTGGTATTGATGAGACACCTCTTTCTTCTTAAGCCCTTTTGGAATGACAAGATCAACATTCTCCAAGCAACTGGCCATCTAGCTATTACAATTGGTATGCCTTTTCTCATGTGCATCATCAGTCACTTCCAGAAGCAATAGGTCTTCAACCATTTTTGACAATTTATTTGCTTGCTCATTCAGTAGTTCCTATGCCTTTTCATTCTCAGATGTTCTTGTTGATCATCTAGTGCATACATAACACAAGGACCTATATCTGGAACCCTGATGCAATTTAGGCTCTACTTGAATCTCACGCACACATGTCGACCACACTCTCAACTTTTGCTTCTTTATCCACCTGTTCAACATATATTGTTCAAGAATTTCTTTGATAAGCATGACTTCTCTAAGAACTTTAATAGCATGACTACACAGAATACCTTTCATCTCTAATAGCCTACAGTTATAAGAAACAGTAGATGCTTCCCTTTTCACCTTACGCTTCTTAGACTTATCATCTAGTTCAACCGTGTATACAAAGATATCACCTTTAGCAACACAATTAGTTATTGACAATTCAATAGATTGTTCAAGCTAATCTTGAAACAATTTGTATATCACTTTCATGTAAACTTCTCTAGCTTATTGCAACATTTTGATGTCAAATTTGACATGCACAATTCTGAATTGTCGGTCATACTCCGCTTCCCATTCCTTGTGCTTAGTATCAATAAGAACCCTCACAATGTTGGTGAAAAATTGAACAATATTGAGACCTGACTTCAAATAATTTTTCAATGTTGCATTAAAACTTTCACTAATTTGTGTGCTTCGTATTCCTGTCAACCATACTGACCTCACATATGCGTAAGCCCATTTCATTCTAATCTTAGAAGTAGTGGCTAACTAGCCATTCTTATGTGCATCATACTCATCAAACATACAATTCCAAGCAGCTAAAAACTCATCTTTCTCCTCAATTTGGTAAAAAAACGTTCAAAGCATTGTGAACTCCTTCCCTCACCTTTGAACTGAGCATTCATACTCTTACAAGCATCCTGCATCAGATGCCATAAACAAAGTCTATGGTAAGTTTGAGGCATCCCTTCTAAAATGGCCTTAGCTATCGTAGGATCTTGATCGATAAAAATAATTCTTGGAGCCCTGCTAGATATTGCCTTCAAAAATTTCTTAGATAACTAACTAAATGAAGCAGCGGTCTTGTCATACATTAAGGCTACTCTAAATACAAAGCCAACAAACATTGCAAATGGTCGATCCAACTCATTGACTTTATAAGTTGTATCAAAACTTACAACATCTCCAAAATCTATAATCAATTATCATTTTTGGGTCTGTCCAAAACATGTTTGCTATTTGATTCTTTTTGTTCAAGTGTCGTTCGTAAAAGAATGATAGGTTTTCCGATATTTGTTTGGAAAAGTATTGTAGCACGACTCCAACTTCTCCATATGCCATTTTCTTTTGCCTCACAATTGGAAGATAATTCTTTTGGTCCTGCTTAATATATCCCAAAGATTATCTTCCACCTGCTTGGTTGCTTATTAACTCATAAGCCAACCTAAGTGGAATCCTCAATTCTTCAGCCAAATCTACTTTAGTGGCTTGTGAGGCTGTGATTTTTCGTTAGGATGGTAGCATATGGGCATATTCTTTCTTTACGAGGGTGATTATGTTGTTCAATAAAAGTTGCAAACACGAAAATTCTGTAACGAATGAAAAGCCCTTCTCCATCATTCATTCACTCCATACAATCCCATACACAATCTGCCGTACCCTTCCACCCTAATCAGCCATCATTCATCATCCTAAGCAAGAATACACCATTCATCACCCCCAAAACCACCACCCACACCTTGTGCCGCAGCAAGGAAGAAGGAGGAGAGCCCTAGACGTGCATGTCATTCAACTTGGAGTTGCTAGAACATTTTAGGTGTAATCTTTCTTGTGTTTTTCAATGTTTAAATTCAAGAATCTTTGCTTTGTGAGTATGTGGAACTAATCCCCTTTTGGCTAGGGGGAATTTCGAAACCATGGCTATATTTGCAATATGATTTTATTACTTCCAGTTGTGATTTCATGAATTGTGAATTCAATTTACTTATCTGTTTGAATTAAAACTTGTTTGTGTATGTGGGTTGAGAGTGCACACTTAATTTGCATGCATAAATTTGATGTTAGGATATAAGGAAGCTTCACCTAATCGTTGTGAACTTATATTCATAAGTAGTAAATGTTGTTAGTCACAATCATGTTAAGTAAATTATTGGCATAAGTATCATGCACTTTCATAGTTACGAACGCCTCGTCAACACTTATGATTTTCATAGAAATTAATGATTTTTTATTGTTTCTCTATTATGCGCATGTAGAGAACTTTTGAGGAATAATTTGATTGCAATGCACTAATTCCATTCAATTCAATGACTTAAGGAAAATATGAGGGTTAATTTAAGCGTACCTAATTAACTTGGGGTGTTGAGGTTAATGATTCATTGAAAAAGCAACTGGAGATTGTTTTGTATGCAAGTATGTCATGTGTGGAGAAAGACCTCCTAGCTAGCCCATCATCCATCTATTTCCACCAAATTCGTGCAAATTTGCTTAGTCCTAGTTTTTGTTTTGTTTACCTTATTTTCGTCCAAAACCAAATCCCCCTTTATTTTAGAGTGTCTAACTAGTTAGAATCTGTTTTAGATTGTGTTTTCAAGTGTTTTGAGTCAAGTTAAAACCAAAATTCGTCCAAAATTGTGTTTAGAGTCAAATCTGCCCAGTTTTTGTTTTTAGGCAGTTTTCAGTGTTTTTAGCTTATTTTGAGTCTTGTGAACTTTTTTTGAGTCTTTTAAGTTTAGTTAAGTGTTTTTGAAAGCTTAGTTTTATCTATTTGAGTTAGTTTAAAGTGTTTAGCAATCCCTCCTAATCCCTGGTTTAAGAACGATCTCTACTTACATATATACTACAATAGTCAAAAGAGGGTTTAATTTGTGTGTTAAGTTAATTTTCGCATCACTTGTTCCAAATCCGCCAAGTTGCCTAAGTTTTCCATGTGTGGGTGAAGGTATGCAAGAGCCCATCATGCGTCCAACACCTTTGTTGTCACATCCTGGACCCAGCTCCGTTGTAGCACAATATTGTCCGTTTTGGGCCATGCCCTCATGGTTTTGTTTCTGGGAACTCACGCGAGAACTTCCCAGTGGGTCACCCATTCTGGGATTGCTTTCGTACAAACTCGGTTAACTTTGGAGTTTCGATGAACTCCGAAGCCAGTGAGCTCCCAAAAGGCCTCGTGCTATTTAAAGGTGGTTATGTACATATAAGGCATAAAGGATCCTTTCCCCTTGGCGATGTGGTATCTAACAATCCACCCTTCCTTAAGGGCCCGACGTCCTTGTCGGTACACTTCCGGCCAGGGATTGGCTCTGATACCAAATTGTCACATCCCGACCCGGGCTCGACTCTATCGTAGCACGATATTGTCTGCTTTAGGCCCTAACCATGCCCTCACAGTTTTGTTTCTGGGAACTCACACGAGAATTTCCCAGTGGGTCACCCATCCTGGGATTGCTTTCGTGCAAACTCGCTTGACTTTGGAGTTTTGATGAACTCTGAAGCCAGTGAACTCCTAAAAGGCCTCGTGCTATATAGAGGTGGGCATGTACATATAAGGCATAGAAGATCCTCTCCCCTGGGCGATGTGGGATGTTACATTTGCCAGCTAGCTCTGAGATCTTTCTTAGAGGGCCGAACTTTAGTGGCACTGAGCAGTTCATCCATCGCATCAGCCTTCGTGCAACTATAGACATCAAGAGCCATATTGAGAGGAGGATTGCGAAGTACCCATTGGAGGACCTTTCATTGCTTAAAGAAGACTTGTTGAAGCTTGTTTCTGGGATTGACAATCTTAACGTTGATTCCTCGTTCTTGAAAGTCAAGATTGCCAAACTTATGGCCACCTCAACTGAGTATTCTTCCTTGCATGCTATTTCCTCGAAGAAGTTGAGTCCAGAGGTTAGAGCTCAACAACATGCAGCAATAGACTTATCAATTGCCCAAGTTCGGTCTTCTCAGCAAGTTGATTCGGAAAGTTATCAAGCCACAAGGACATCTTTAGTTTCTGTCCAAGCAAGTCTACAAGTGTTGGCACGTGAGCGAGAGTAGCTGGAAACTAAAGCATCATGACTTCAGGGTGTTCTCTTGGAGCAGGAAGCTACATTTTCTCAGCATTAAGAGAGGGTTTCACACCTAGAGCAAGAGAAAGGCGTGGCCATGGAAATGCCCACCTTGTCTCCCACCGATGTTGAGAATTTGTAGACTTTGGAATGGTTGCTTAAAGATCGTCGTCGTAGTTTTAGGGACATAGCTATTCAGTAGTGTCTTCCATTTTTGTGCTTGAAGCCTTCTTTGTGTTTTTTTTTCCTTGCTTATTTTGTAATAAGGCTTTGTAGCTTTAAAGAAATAAAGTATTCCCATTCTTGAATTTTTACTTTATTCTTCAAAGTGTTTGTGTTTTTGTTGATGATGTGACTGTACTTGAAGTTTTGAAGTTTCAAGTTGCCAACGTACCTTCGGTTGAGAAGGGATCAAGTCATGACGTGGTTCAAAGGAATGATGGATTTCTTTTGATGGTGATTTTGCCGTACATAGTTTATGCTCTTGCAGGCTAGGAGCGTTCGGTGTTACCTTTTATGATCGTGCAAACAATGAGCATTGGGTCGAGTGCTTCGAGCCTTCTTTCGTCGAGTGCTTTTAACTCTTGAAGTTGTAGCTTTGTATTTTCCTCTTCAATCAAGCCTTCTTGTATAGCCATCCTTAGTGAGGGGATTTGACTTTCGAGTGGCAGAATAACTTCCATGCCATATACTAAAGAATAAGGCATAGCTTGGGTAGGAGTTCTATGTGTTGTCCTATATGCCCAAAGTGCTTAGCTTATTCTTTCATGCCAGCTTCTCTTTATTCAGCCGATCACTTTCTTTAGAAGGTAGCACAACGTTTTGTTGAATGCTTCTGCAAGACTGTTGGTCGGAGCATGATACATGGAAGAATTGTGCTGCTTGAATTTGTATTTCTCGCAGAGCTCGTCCATAAGTCGGTTTGAGAACTATTTTCCACTGTCGGTTATGATGTAGTGAGGCACACCATATCGATGGATGATATGCTCCTTGATGAAACAGACGACAGTTTCCTTCTTGACTTCCCTTAGGGGTACGGCTTCAACCCAATTGAAGAAGTAATCCATTGCAGTTATGATGTAGGCTTCTCCGGCAGATGATTTTGGTGTGATTAGTTGCACGACGTCTAATCCCTATGCATCAAATAGCCATGAAACAATCGTAAGGTGTAATGGCTCATGCAGTTGATGTATGAAGTTAGCATGGAATTGGCAGGCTTGGCACCTTTTGGTGTATTCCAGGTAATCTTTCACCATACTTGGCCAATGGTAGCCCATTCTTTTAAGCTGGAAGTAGCTTTAGTCCAAACTGATGCGCTCTGCATATGCTTGAGTGTGCTTCTTCCATGGCTTGATTAGCTTATTCCTCACCTAGGCATCTTAGAAGTACTCCTTCAAAATAGTGTTGGTAGAGTGTATCTTTATTGTAGATGAAGCGAGGTGCTCGTCGACGTACTTTAGAGCAATGTCTAGGATCGTCCAGAAGCTTTCCATGCTCCAAGTAGTCAATCATCGGTTGTCTCCACTCTTCAGTGTCGACTAGAAGTACTGAGATGATGTTTGTGTCATCTAGTAGTATTTCAGTGACGAGTGGGATCACCCATCTTTGGCAAACTAGCACATATGCAGCTTCGTCTTCTCTTAGCGCTATACTTGAGGCTAAGTTAGCGAGAGCGTCTGCCATTTGATTTTCTTTTCTTGGCACATGTTCTAGCATCACGGCCTCAAACTTCTGTAACGGTTGAGTTGCTAGCCGAAAGTATGGGACGAGATAATGTTTCCTCATTTCATATTCAATCAAGAGTTAATTAATTATGAGCTTGGAGTCGCCATACACTTCTAGCGTTGTGATTTCCATGTCGATCATCGTTTGGAGTTCAATGATCAGTGCTTGGTACTCAATGATGTTGTTAG